TAAAATTTACCATAGAACGAAAAATGGCAAGAGATAAAAACGCGCATACACAACAAACTGAATTAAAGCAAATACACAATTTGATGTGTGTGCACGTTACGTACCACAAGCAAGATTCTGGACATGGGGGGCGATGCGCAGCCAATAATATTATATATATACACACGCTATGGAATTCTCGTTCGTTTCGATTTTATCCAGTGGCATGAAAACATACGCTGTACACAAATAAAAGAGTGACAACAAGGGAACGGTGTATGTGCGACAGCGACAGACTGAGAGCGAATCATGCAAATGCGGAGTGCGCGTTTTACAAGCCTCCAATACAATCCAACAAACGTTAACTATCCCATATTCAATGTTTCAAACAGAGCAAAAAAAAAGTGAGTTTATGTGTGTTGCTTGTTCATATTTACATGTTGGCTGTATTAATCACTGTTAACGTTTTTTATTGCCCATATTCAACAACGCCGGAACCCCGACACATTGCCAATATACGAATACGGCCAAGATACGAACGAATGACGAAACGGGCTGGCGAAACGAATGAACGACACAATGAAAGAGATTGCGATGAATCAAAGTGCCTTATAAACGGTTTGTAGCTACTGGTCTTGAGTTGGCTGACTGAAAATTACTACGCTTGCCGTTTTGAAAGGCAACACATAATCAAATATAAAACAAACGACACAATCATATTCTGTGTACGACTTGAAATAGACACACATATACAATAGGGAAAAAAAACATGAAAATCGATAAAAATGCATCTCGTCTATCCAAATGCCTAATAGGCATTCATTTTATTATTTTGCAGTTCGCACAACCACACAGCTTACTGCAAAAAAACTTAATTGCTCACTCGCTCATTCTGCTTTATTTTCGAATGAGATGATTTTTTTGTATTCGTCGATGATGGTTAAGTGTGAATCGGTTGTGTGTACGATTGCCGTTCTTGTTCTCGGAACAATGATTTTTAAATTTAAATCACGAAAAGTCATCATAACTAAATGAAAAAATCTAACAACACAAATAAAACATATTTTTCCATAATTGAATTCATATTGTATTTGAAATGAAACATCAAAGCGTCATGACTCATGAGTCGATTAAGTCATCGTTTGCATATGATACAATCAGTTTTTCAAAGCGAATAGGGCATATGAATAATATAGTATGTATATACAACGTGGTCAAAATTTATGCTAAAAAATGATAATTGTTGCAAAAATATGTTGAGCGCAATCATTTATTTCGACAACATAACACTGTTTATGGATTTTGATCTCAATCCGGGATTTCAACAAGGCGCAAGAGAGAAAAAAATTAAAATTGACATAAAAACAAATCCGACTCGTTTGGCATTGTATATAAAAAATGAATGTGAAGTTGTTATCAACGACATAGCAGTAGCAGAAAAAATATAATGGAGCTGAAATGTTTGCATTGAAATAAAAAGGGAAGACATGTTACGATAAAAAGAGCTTTGAAATGTAGTCACTGCATCGCCACCCCGTTGTTGATGCCAAACCGAGTATTTTGAATAGGGATGCCTGATTACTTGTTGTGCATCGTAATTTTATTTTTGTTTTTCAAATACCCTTTAATGAGACTTGGACGCGAGAATATGGAAAATATCCCAGCCATGCCACAAAAGAAGTGAGCAAAGTAATTACATATATACATCAAAAGATATATATAGAGAGGGAGGGAGAATGCATGAGAGGAGCTTCGCACAACGGATGGCAATATAGCAGCAGTAACAACAGCGGCAAAAAAAACACCAACTTGAAGATGACGAGAACGCGAATATACACATGAGTGGCTGTGTGATGTATTTCCTAGTTCTATGTAATGTAGCGAAATGTGATGTTTTTTGTTGTCTATTTGCTTGCTGTGTCGCATGGCTCTTGAAAACTTTGTGTTCATATGTTGAGTCGTGCGCGTGTACAAACACATACGTAAAATGTTTTATTCTATGAACGAGTGAAGCAGAGAAAGAACAAAAAACAAAATGAATAGAAGGCAAAAATACCAAAATGTTTATACATAGACATGCTTCGATAGAGCTCTCATACTAAGTCTCCTGATTTAGCTGAATCTATGCGACAAGATGGAAAAATGCTACCTCATATACAAGAGCACAGACAGAGACACCCGTGTTTGTTATAGTATCTTTCGTTCTATCTCATACGCACACGCGCACGTGATATCTCTTTCATTCTCCATTGAAATCGAACAGAAAGGTCATACCGATATTCATATTTGAGCGTACACAAATTCGCGGATATGTTTTGTTGCCGAAAGGAAATGTAGCAAATCGAAAAAGAAGAAGAAATACAACATCAGAAGAAGAATAAAGTTTGTGCACAGAAAAAAAAGCGATGATGATGTCGACGACGACGACAAAAGCCAACGAATACGATGTCAATGAGAGCCAAAGTAAACCAGAATGAATAATAAATATCGGTAAAGATATAATAGATATGCGATAGGAAACGGTTTTGCCCCCAGATCAATGGTAGCTTAATGCCTCGTCGATACTCTGAACCAGAAACAAAACCATGAAAACGAAAGTTGAATGCACAACTGCAATTTAACTCGATGCCATTTGAATGCGACTCAAATTATGCATACAAAAAGTTTCAGCAGCAAATTTTTGGGATAATTTCTGTTATATAGATTTTACAATTCATAGCATGTAAAGCTAGTAAATGCATTCTATAACTATTCATGCCAAATGTATGCCTTACACAACTGCGCTGCAATGTCATTTTACACAGTCTTTGTTCACAGCTTTCGATGTTTACCGTATATTCTATGCTGTGCAAATCTTCTCCTTATTTTTCCATTTAATTTTCACCGCCATCGTCGTAGTCGTAGTCGTCATCATCATCATCTTGATTGTGTGCTCTTCTTGTTTTTGTTATTATTGTTATTATTTTTTCGTTGGGCTCATGTCTTGAGACAGGCACATAGAATCGTGTAAATGAGTGCGCGCGCGAATTTGAAATACATAAGTAATTTATACGTTGTGCATTTTAAATGGCGTGTGATGTGATATTAGAATCTATAGATCAAATACACAAGTTTCGTTTTTTTCTTGTTTTCCTTCTTTCGCTTTCTCGCTTTCCTGCTTTGCGTATTTTGTTTTCTTTCATTTTTTTGTGTATATTTATACTTATTCATCTTTTGCTCGAGCCAGCCACAATACGGTTATTGGATAGAATGCTGTTGCATTTCACCATTTTGCCAATGTGTGAATATGTGTGCTTGTGTGTGGCTACAGGCATTCGTATTCATTTATGCATGTGTATTTGAATTGCCTATGCTCTTGCAATTGTAACAAGACCAATGTTGATTTCTGTTTTGTATTTCGCTATCTCTGTCTACTGCTTCCTTTCTCTCTCTCTCTCTCTCTCTCTCTCTCTCTCTCTCTCTCTCTCTCT